AGGGATAAACCATAACTACTGACCCCTAAAGCAAGGAGTAATGTTTTTAAGACTTTTTTTTTTTTTTTTTTTTTGAGACGGAGTTTCGCTCTCGTTACCCAGGCTGGAGTGCAATGGCGTGATCTCGGCTCACTGCGACCTCCACCTCCTGGATTAAGGCAATTCTCCTACCTCAGCCTCCTGAGTAGCTGGGATTACAGGCACACGCCACCATGCCCAGCTAATTTTTTGTATTTTTAGTAGAGATGGGGTTTCACCATGTTGACCAGGATGGTCTCAATCTCTTGACCTCATGATCCACCCGCCTCGGTCTCCCAAAGTGCTGGGATTAAAGGCGTGAGCCACTGCACCCGGCCCAACATTTTTTTTTTTTTTAGACAGGGTCTCACTCCCATTGCCCAGGCTGCAGTGAAGTGACATGCTCACTGCAGCCCTGACTTCCCCAGGCTCAGGTGATTTCCCCCACTTTAGCCTCCTGACCAAAGTGCTTAGATTACAGGCGTCAGCCACTGCACCCAGCCTCTTTCAGGACTTTATGTGCAGTCCACTGGCATGCCTAGGTGAAAATAAGCTAAATGATTGAAAATGTTAGTATTTTGACTCTCATAAGATGGGACAGATGGCCCTTGAAAATAAGCTTGTTTACCTTGTGAGAGTGTTTCCCCCTGTGGACTGGTAAGTTGTGGCTTCCGGGACACTGCATTCCAATACTGAGGCTTCCCTGGCAACACCCCTAGTCCAAGGTAACCAGGATAGAGCTCTGGAAACCACTCCAGCCCCATGCAGCTAGGAAGGGCCTTCCTGCCAGCAGCTGCAGCATGACTGGTGAAGGGGCTCTGAGGAGTGTGATGCTGGGTTGAATGTAAAGGGCTCTGGCACCCAGTGTGTGATGCTTGGAACTGACTGACTGATTTGGGCTCCAGAGACATCTGTCCCTCAGGACTCTCCATTAATGCCCTGACACCAGGGACATGATTATGACTCCAGGCTTCTACTTTCTCTTCTTGAAGAAATTTTGTAGCTAGAGAAGCAAGACTTTGACCACTTGGCTGCGATACAGAATGCAACTTGTAAGTTGTCTCCCTTGGAATGAACAAGCTTAAATGTGGTCCTTCACCTTGAGACTTCCTTCCTGTGGCTGAATCACTGGTGCTGAAGTTCTCAGAGCCATGTCTCAAGGCAGTCCAGTCCTGCTTTTCTGTTGCGGACACACTTTTCTCTGCATTTCTTTTGCTCCCACACGTCTCTACTCCAAGCCTAAGTCCTTTCTCTTGGTTCTCCATGACTTGGATTTTACCTAATGAGCTCATTTTAAGGCTTAAAATGAGTGATTCTGTGTTCTTTTCTGGAGTCTCAGTGACTCGAACATCAGCAGAAACTCCTGAGAGGTGATCCCTGCCTTTGGATTCTCTCTCATTGCTTGACAATGATGTTCTTACCCTTTTAACCCCATCACCAACATTCTTTGGAGAACTATGACAATCACCGGTGGGCCCATCTAGCAATTTTACTAGAAGTTCCTGTCTTTGGGGATCAATTTTGTCCAACTGCAGATCATAAGAGGTAGTTTGTATATTATTAGGTATAGTTGAGGAGTATTTTCTATCTTGATTTGACAAAGAAAGTTCTATTGAGCCAACCAGTAAAGATGCCCCAGCTTCTGAAGGATGACGTCCACTGTCTCCTGACTTAGGCAGATCTTTGGCAAGTTCTCTTTTAGGAGAGGTGTCCTCTGTTGCATAAAACTGAGCCTTGGTTTCTTCTTGGAAAGCAGTCTTCGGCTTAGTATTTTTTGGCATTTTGAAGGATGGTTGGGTTGGATTCTTGCCATCTTTATCTGCCTCTGTAGTAGTTGCTCTTTCCAAACCAACAGCAGGTAGTGGAAAGGACTTCACTGTCTGTTCTGGTTTGTCCATCATCAACTTAGAATTTCTTTCTTCATTCTCTGTCTCTAACTCTTTCCCTTTAGCTTTTATTACAACAACTTTGATTGGCCCTTTCATTTTTTTAGCATTTGGGAGTGAAGCAGGCTTGGACTGATCCATTTTTTGTTCAGTAGGTGTGGTTGGTCCTATCATCTTACAATATGGCAAGTGGGATTTTAATCGTTTAAATGGCTTCTTACAATAAGGGCACACTTCCATTCTGGATGGATTATCACTCATCCTATTCCTAAAAAAGGTAAACGTCAGATTATAGGAGCACATAGTTTGTAAATATTAATATTTTACTTATGTGTTGGAGCTTTTAAATTCATTTGGAACAAGCTAGATGTTTGCTACTTAAGGTTATAGGAAGTCAACTAGACATTACATGAGTATGAAAATTTGTTTTAAAACCCCTAAATACATTATTCAAGGACAGAATGGAAAGAATTAAAAACTCAGGCCAGGAACCAAAGGTTATTTATTTATTTTGAAGACAGAGTCTTGCTCTGTCACCCAAGCTGGAGTGCAGTGGCACAATCTCAGCTCACTACAACCTCCACCTCCCAGATTTAAGCAATTCTCTTGCCTCAGCCTCCCAAGTAGCTGGAACTACAGAGGTATGCCACCACATGTAGCTAATGTTTTGTATTTTAGTAGAGACAGGGCCATGTTGCCCAGGCTGATCTCGAACTCCTGAGCTCAGGCAAACTGTCCACCTCAGCCTCCCAAAGTGCTGGGATTACAGGTGGGAATGACCACGCCCGGCCAAAGATTATTGATTACAGCAGAGGTTTCCAAAGTGATATATGGAAGATTCACTGGGGTGTAAGAATAGGAGAACTCCCACAATCTAAGAATGACAAATGAACCTCTACTAACATTTAATTAGTAATATGCATATATATACACAGAGACATATAAAATGTATGTATAATGCACAAATATATACATGGTAAGGACACAGTCCTGTTTTTTATAGTTATAATACAATAGATTGTTGGCAAATTTGCTTAGTTTGACAACTTTGTTAAATATATACCATGTAAAAATTTAAAAAAAACATACCATTACCTATGTACCTTTCAGTTAGAGTCCAGAAAGAAAATGTTTAATTCCAAAGTTTAGTTGAAAGGTATTTCCTTTCTATATTTCTTATTCTCTCCGTAAAGTTCCAGAGGGCAAGAAATATACCTATCCTGTGCACAGCTGTATGTAAAAACCTAGCACTGAGCTGGCATACAATATTTGTTGAATGAATTATTCCTCTAGATATAAACGTTTAAATATTATTCAGTACTACAACTGATAATACCTTCTGACCACCAAAGAGATTAAAAAGGGTGACTGAAACTACTTAAAAATACACCCAATCCTGACCAATGCATTCATTCAAGCAACAAACCCATCTTATCCTGTACAAAGTCATTCAGAACAAAACTGTTTTCTGTCAACAGATTACAGTAATCATTCTTACTTTGTTGTTGGTTGTTTGTTTGAGATGGAGTCTTGCTCTGTCGCTCAGGCTGGAGTGCAGTGGCACGATCTCGGCTCACTGAAACCTCTGCCTCCCCGGTTCAAGTGGTTCTCCTGCCTCCCGAGTAGCTGGGATTACAGATGCATGCCACTACGCCCGGCTAATTTTAGTATTTTTAGTAGAGACAGGGTTTCACCATGTTGGCCAGGCTGGTCTCGAACTCCTGACCTCAAGTGATCCACCTGCCTCAGCCTCCCAAAGTGCTGGCATTACAGGCGTGAGCCACTGCGCCCGGCCTGCTGGGATTACAGGCGTGAGCCATCATTCTTTGGAGGTATACATCGACCACACGATGAAAGCCATAGACCGTTTGTTTACAAAACTATACAAAAATGAAACCAGTCCATGGATCTTTGGCTAACAAGGTTAGAAAGGGCTTGACACCTGCTAGACGTTTCTGCCTCTAATCCACCTCACACTCAATCCTACTTGAAAGATCTCTGTACATTCTCACGGTAACGTCCATACGTCGGTGTCTGTTTTCTTACCCAAGCTCTTCTAGGAGGATGCTAGTTTTGCGAGTACTTCTCCCGGATGCCCATGCTTCCCGATCACCGTTCCCGGGTGTGGCGGAATGAAATGTGAATGTCAGCCTGTGTAAGACACGATCAGACAGGTGACTCGGCAGCAGCACAGTGAGTAAATGCGGCAAGGTATCGAACCAAATACAAACACATGTCCGGAAAAACAGAGTTAAGACCTCCCCCCTCCTGCCCCCGGTCAGCCTCCGGGCTCAAGGAGAACCTCACGGTTGCTTTAATCCTCACCACCAGCGCTCTCCAACCGCTTTTCCCTCCTCCGGCCGCGCTACCAGCCTGCCCACCTTCCCGGACTCTTCCTTTCCCAGAAAGCTGTTTCGATTCTGCCTAGCGGAGTAAACGGGGTCGGCGTTCCCGCAGCCTCACCGAGGGGTCCAGGGTCCCTCCTGCGGTTTCGGCAAGACCTTCCGCCGGCCCCAGCACCCAATACCCGATACCCTCCCCCGGCACCCTATGCTCTCCCTTCTCCGCTCAGGACAGTTTCCCCCAGACTTAGAACGTGGGCCGCGGAAGGCAACCCCTGGAAGCTCACCACAGAGAAGTGCTCACCACAGAGAAGTCCTCACCTCGGAAGACCTGAAAGCGGCGGCCTAGACTACAAGCCCCCCAGGGTATCTCCCCAGCGCCTGCCCAACCCCCGGCCAGAGCCCCGCGTCAGGCCATCTGCACCACTGCCTAATGGGTCCGCCTATTTTTAAAAACATATTACCTCACATGAATTCAACTCAAATACTTGTGTGATATTATTATGATATAATTTAATTTATTTGAAACCTGGCTTGACTTTTACACCCTACCTTCCGTTGGCTCTGAACAGGCGTCCGCTTCGGCCACCCTCAGAGAGGTCCTTTCTCCCAGATGCTGCGAGTCGCTCCTCCTGCTGCGAGTCGCTCCTCCTGCTCCGAGCCCGCCTCTTCCCGTGGGCGGGGTTACCGGTCGGCGCGGCTGGGATCGCGCCACTGCGCAGCCGCGAGAGGGCGGTACCACGGCGGCGGCGACATGGGGGGGCGCGGAGCAGACGCCGGAAGTAGCGGTGGTACAGGTCCGACTGAGGGGTACTCACCGCCGGCTGCGTCCACCCGAGCGGCTGCGAGAGCCAAGGCCCGAGGGGGTGGGCGTGGCGGCCGCGAAAACACAACCCCTTCTGTTCCCTCTTCTCGCGGAGCGGCGCGGCTTAGCTTCCCTTCGCCAGCTGCCATGAGTGAGCGCCTCCGTCCCAGGTGAGAGGGAAGGGACCCCCTTTCCACTCGTTGCCTGAGGATCTGGGAAATGGAGCTGAGGGGGTGCGCGAAATGGGGGTCGGAGTAAGGGTGGATCCGGCGGGGCTTTCTGTGGGGCGCACTGCGGGCCGGGGGAGGAGGGGAGAGGGATGCGCGAGTGATCAGATGCTGCTTGGTTCCTGTGGGTAGCTGGAAGGTGACTCTACGGGGTCCAGGTCTCCCGCCCTTCCATCTCCCCCCCCTCCATCTTTTCCTATTTGGAACGAAAAGTGATCGGTCCCGGAAGAGAGATGGTGGCCCTAAAGCTTCCCTGTCCTATATTTAGGAGAGTGGGGGGATGGGAGAAACGTCTGATCTTGGAGAGGGAGCCCCCTAAGGCTTTTGGGAGGGCACCGGGCGGGGAGCTGCCGGCTCCCCAAGGTCAGAAAGAAAGGTTGGGTTTAACTCCTCGGCAGGGAAGGATTAGGTTAGACCGAATAACTTGTGCTCTGGACGGTTGTGAACACAGAAGGGCAGATGCCTGAGGTGGGTTGTGGAGCCTCTCTAGACTGTAGCATTTAAAACAGGCGGGATTCTAAACTGTTTGGATGCGGGGCCGTTTGACTCCGAAGGCGGGAGGTAGGATTTCATCGCGATGCACTCGCTACCTTCCCAAGGGAGCCTGGCTGGCCTCGGAACCCGGGTCTTAATTTAGAGGTTCTGTGCATGACATTACTAGTGTACGGACTAAGTTGGGATTTCTTGATTTTTTTTTTCTCGTTTTTAATTTCCTCTGCAAGAATGTGTGGAGGAGAAAGTTGGGAAGGGTTACCTCTGAATGAAGTCCGAACACGCTCATTTTTCTGAATGAAGAAACGGATTTAGAGAGATCATTTGATTTACCTGGGTCCTACAGGTTCACTCCTCCTTCCTTTATTCCATAATGGTCTCGGGTTTAAGTGAATAAAGATGTGTCATAGGATTGCCTTGGTAGATTACTGCTGGATCTTTTAATGTTTCATGTTTTCATCGGCTCTTCATGTTACGGTCTTTCCACAAGGATCCTTCTCTAAATTAGTTATTTCATGGGATTGAAGTTCTGAAAAGTATCCTGAGCGGCCGGGCGCAGTGGCTCACGCCTGTAATTGTAGCACTTTTGGAGGCCAAGGCAGGTGGATCACGAGGTCAGGAGTTCAAGACCAGCCTGGTCAACATGGTGAAACCCCGTCTCTTCTAAAAACACAAAAATTAGCAGGGTGTGGTGGTGGACCTGTAATCCCAGCTACACGGGAGGCTGAGACCGGAGAATCACTTGAATCCAGAGGGCAGAGGTTGCAGTGAGCTGAGATTGCACCACTCCACTCCAGCCTGGGCAATAAGAACGAAACTCAAGTCACACAAAAAAAAGATTGTGGTTTTTCAGGCTGTCCTACAGTAGATTAGATAGCCACAGAGACGTAGATGTGTGGTGAGGGAGTCCCTGTTTATTGATTGGTTGATTGATTGACAGAGTCTTACTCTGTCGACCAGGCTGGAGTACAGTGGCCCGATCATGCCTCACTGCAGCCTCAGCCTCCCCAGTCTCAGGTGATCCTCACACTTCAGCCTCCTGAGTAGCTGGACCACAGGCGTGAGCTACCACACCCAGCTAATCTTTGTATTTTTTGTAGAGATGGGGTTCCCCGTATTGCCCAGGCTATCTTGAACTCTTGGTATTTTTTGTAGAGATGGGGTTCCCGGTATTGCCCAGGCTATCTTAAACTCCTGGGCTCAAGGGACCTACTACTCGCCTCAGCCTCCCAAAGTACTGGGATTATGGGTGTGAGCCACCTCACCCAACTGGGAGTCCCTACTTTAACAGATCCTTTGTCTCTTTATGTAGAGAGTACTCTTTACAGTAAGAAAAAAAATGAGTTCTATTGCTTTTTAAAATAAAGTTTGAAAACTACTAGTTTTCATCCTAAGATTACTTCTAGGCCCAGTCTCTAGGAGATGACAGGAAGGCTGGAGAGAAATGAAATAATGCAATGTGATGGAATCAGCCATCTTTATAACTAACAGATGCTAACCCGTAATTTGCACCTACATGGTTAGGAGAGAATATAACCATTAGGGGTACCTGTTAAAATTATAATCTGGTCTGTGGCATTAATGCCAAAAACTGAAATCTGATTGATTGAACTGATAGGGTTGAGCATGAAGCTGTGATCTTGCCACTTGTTAACACCATTATTGAAAGAAGAATGTTTCAAGAATGAGATCTGTTAAGAGCCTAGAAAAAGGCAAATGAAGAACAGGTAGGACTTATTCTTAATCTGGTACCATCCAAAGGTGAAGGCCACCAATAGGCTGAAGAGATTATTCTAGTACCTTGAGAGATCAAGTAACTTACAAGGCAGGGATATTTCATGTGACTCTCCCAGAAATTAGTTGAAATCCACAAAACCAGCTCATCTTTTTTGTTCTTACCCTCCTTCTGCCTGCCATGCAACCTCCTTGACATTCATAGTATTGTCCCTGGGAAGATCTATCCCCCATTATAAATGAGGAGATGGCAAATTTTGATCAGGCTCATAAGTTTCATTAGAGTGACTCAGCAGCCCAAAGGCCTAATCAGCTGTTGGCATGCTGATAAAATGAGTGTTTGGGGACCAGCAGCTGCTGCTTACTCAATGAGTTTCTCTTTGGGTGTCAACTGGCCTGCCAGCAGACATTGCTTTGCCTCTGCAGAACACTCCCATGAAAATTCTCTGATCATATTAGGATGAAATTAGCAGTTTCTTGGTTCAAATGTATGATAAAAGCACATCCATTTAATGATTATTAAAACCTGGTATTCATCTATTTTTTTTTTAACCTCCAACTACTTGAGAGTAATGTGCAGCTAAGATCTGATCTAAGAGAAAGGTAGGGAGCAGAAATGATCTCTTAGAATGAGGTAATTATGTAGCCCACTGCAGGATGGCTGAAGCTTTATCAGAACCACACACTCACTCTTTATTATTCCAAACTGAAGCTGGGATCCATACTCATTATTAAAGTTAGACCTATTCAGAGTGTTGCAGAGTACAGAGAATTGAGCTCAGGATGATCATTGAGTTTCTCCAATATTCAGACCTCAACTCAAAACCTAAAGGCCTGCCACTGTAAGCCGCCCTACTCACATAGAAAGTATATAATTATATAGAAGACACTATATCCTCCAAATTTAAATGCTTTCCTAAAGCTGTGTGTTCATACTAGCCTTTTGTCTCTTAACTATAGAAAGTGAAAACTTTAAGGGTTTTGTAATAGATGCTGCTGCTGTGTACATACAGACCTCTAGCCTGTGCTGCTCGGCAGAACGTGCTGCAGTGATGGCCATGTCCTCTATGTGTGCTGGAAGGTGCAGTAGCCACGAGCTACATGTGGCCACTGAGCACTACAAACAGGGCTGCTGTGACCTAGGAACTGGATGGTTAATTTTAGGTTAATTTCAATGTAAATAACCATATGTGGCTACAACATTGGACAGTACAGTTCCAGGCAATTTGACTTAAAATTATACCTACTTTATTTCTGTTTTCTAATGGGTTCAGAAATCATTTTGACAGCACATAATTCTTCCATAGAGTACATGCAAATTTGGTCCTTCTTGCACATCCGAGAACACATGCCTAAGAAAGATGTGTGATTTTTCTCTAAACCTGGACATTTTAAGCAGCTTATGCTTAGTAACAATCTAGTAAAGTCATTGTTGTATCATAATACTAGCTACTGTTGCCAGAATAATCAGGTTAATGTGACCAGGAGGTGCCTTTATAAAGATTTTCAGGGCAAATAGGCAAAGGCAGCCACAACAAAGTATTTCAGATGTTGTCACATGGAAGGGAGTACAATAGGTAACTCTTAACTTCCGGGAGTGCAGAAAGAAGAAAACCTTAATTAGGTAGAAGTTGGAAGCTTAGTCATTAACCTCTTCCTGTTCTTATTTTAGTCCCAACAGACATTTTAAATTGTTAAGCTTCTTTTTAGAAGTTAGTTTTACTGATTTAAGCTTGACCTTACTGCTGTTGTCTTACATTTTTGCACTTAGTGTCCAGTGGTGGTGTACTTCCAGCTTATAACCTATTGGGATAATCATATGGTGAATTATATTTTCTCAGGGGAGAGGGCAGATTTATATGTTGTCATGGTTTGCAGTTCAAATGTCCAAAACATCAGTTATTTGGATTTTTTTTTTCTCCTTGTGATCTAATTTCAGGAAAAGGAGAAGGAATGGCAATGAAGAAGACAACCATCTTCCCCCCCAGACCAAAAGGAGTAGCAGAAACCCTGTCTTTCAGGATTCATGGGACACAGAGGTAGGAGGTGTGCTCTCATAGTGTATTGTTTTCACTGCTTGAGTTAAATAACCCAGTATCTGCTGTGTAATTAAAATTACTTAAAGAATAATTGAAAATGACCTTACTTGATTACAGTTGTTTAACCTTGCTTTTTCTAAATCAGGGCCCCTTTGAGGAGGCTGTATACCCTCTCCCCAGCAAAACAGTATATATCTGCACATACTCATACATGGACACACTAACTTGTATTTGTTAGAAATTTCGTGGCCCTTTGAAAGCCTATGTTTGAACTCCCTGTTTTGTATTTCAGCAGCCAACTTACTTTCTGATGGTTTATAAACGATTAATTGTCCGTCCTTAAGATAAACATATTTTGTTGCTTTGATTCAAATGCCTTTTAAGAGAAATTTTAGGCATGCAAAATGTGTCAGGTATTTGTATGCAAAATCCCATTTTTCAGAGTTTTAACTTTTCGTTACTTTGTTCTGAAAAGAGCTCCCATGGTGATGGGAAGGAGAGTTGGGTTTTCCTGAACTTTTTTACAGTTTTTGATTTCCTGAAAGAGTGCTTCTTTGTGCAGACTGAGGATAACTTTCCTGTGCGATTGGAAGGCTGCTGTATGCTGGGGAAGGGGAAGCGCTATAAAGGAATGCTGCTATTAAGTCACGCACTTAAAGATTTTGACCCTTAACAGTTGTCACACTAAGAGAAAAGCCTCAACAACAAAGAGTCCTAGCCCTCGCCTCATCACTCACAGCAGAATTCTCACACACTCAAATAATTTGTACTTTCATTAGTTCCTGCTAATAGGATTTGACCTATATCCAGTCTTTCCTTGCCAGCAATTGAAAGTAGCTCCCCCAAAGGGGAACATTCCAGGACTTTGATGTAGGTAACATTCATTCAGAGACAATGAGCAAGTGCAGAGTAGAATCCTGTGTGGAGACCTGAGTTTCTATAGCTGTTTTTCCTCCTTAAATATTTTTCTGGCTGGTTGCAGTGGCTCATGCCTGTAATCCTCGCACTTTGGGCGACTGAGTGGGGTAGATCATGAAGTCAGGAGTTTGAGACCAGCCTGGCCAACATGGTGAAACCCTGTCTCTACTAAAATCACAGAATATTCGCTGGGTGTGATGGTGCGTACCTGTAATCCCAGCTACTTAGGAGGCTGAGGCAGGAGACTCTCTTGAACCCAGGAGGCGGAAGTTGTGGTGAGCCTAGATGGTGCCACTGCACTCCAGCCTAGGCGACAGAGCAAGACTTTGTCTAGGAAAAAAAAATATTATATGTATGTATATATATATTTTTATATTTGCTTTTTTCTTTTCTTTTTAAAAAATGATTATCAAAAAGGTAATTGCTTTTGTTCAATGTAATAGTTGGGGAATCTCAGGGATGAAAGAAAATGAGATTAGAGGCTGACGTGAATATCTAATGATAAAACCCTATAATACTGATTGAGTTTCCATTCTTTTGAATTATAAGACTGTTCATTAAACGAGTGTGCAGAGATTACTCTCATGGTGTTGGCATCAGTACTTCTTTACCTGTGTCTGTATGTAAGTCCTGCTACATGATGTTCATTTCAGTCCATGGTATGGTAGGTCTAATTCTCTGTATTAACGTTTTTTTCTGTATCTGCCAGTTTTGATGCCTGAGAACAGCAATAGAAATTGTCAACTTTTTCTTGCTTTTATCTCTTGGTTAAAAAAAGAAAGAAATTATCATCCTTTTAAAAATTTTATGATCTCTTAAGTAAGGTGGATATAATAGTGTTAGTTTTTTTTTTTTAATTTTTTGGGATTTTTTTGGTACAAAATGACCTTTACTCTCTTTCTGAAATCTATGCATTGGTCTCACAGAAGAAAATGGCATCTTGTTACTCAGCCTCTTGGGTTCTATAGCTTGTCCTTACTTGTCCAAAGAAATTCAGTTGCTGAGCCACTCTGTAATCATTATCAGAAGAAGGATGGCCTTGTCTTCGTTATAATTTAAGTTCATTACTGGTAGTTTCTATCTGAACTCACAGGTAGATCACCTATTGGGGTGTTACAATCATTGGTTTCAGCCTAGCTTGCTGAACGTTGACCAGAACAGCCTGCTGTGCTGTGCTTCCTGGTGGTGGCATTAACAAGTAACAAGGACAAGTGAATGATGAGACAGCTGGAGAAGCAAAAGGCAGAGGGAAAATTTTTTAAAATGGAAAGCTAAGCCCCAGATAATTAAGTTTTCACTACTGGAGTAAATGATTATGTTTGTAGCAGCAAAAAATCAAGTTTAGGGGCATTTGGCTGCTTTTCCATGATTGTATATAAAAGGGAAAATAAAACATTATAATTTTTTAAATAATTTAGACAGTAAAATATTGTATTAATAAGTTTACTAATGAAAATGTTTTCTTTTAATTCTGAGGTAGGGCCATGAGGTCAGTGTCCTTGAAACTAAGTTATGCAAGAGAAACCATTTCTTCTGTTTTTCCTGAAACACCTGAATGAATAAGCTCTGTCACCCAGGCTGGAGTGCAGTGGCATGATCTCAGCTCACTGCAACCTCTACCTCCCAGGCTCAAGCAATACTCCCACCTCAGCTCCTAAGAAGCTGGAACATGCCACCACACTGGGTTAACTTTTTAAGGACTGTTGTTGTAGTTGTAGAGACAACAATTTCTCATTGTATTGCCCAGGCTGGTTGTGAACTCCTGGGCTCAAGTGATCCTCTCACCTCAGCCTCCTCAAAATGCTGGGATTACAGACTTGAGCTACCATTCGTGACTAGAATTTCCTTTCTTCCTTCCTCCTTCTCTCCCTCCCTCCTTCCCTCCCTCCCCACTTCCCTCTTTTCTCTCCCTTCTCTCTTTTCCTTCCCTTCCCTCTCTTCTTCCCTCCCTTTCCTTCCCTTCCCTCTCTTCTTCCCTCCCTTTCCTTCCCTTCCTTCCCTTCTCTCTTCCTTTTTTCCTCCCTTCCTTCTTCCTTCCTTCCTTTTTTTCTTTTCTTTCTGACAGGGTCTCCCTCTGTTACCCAAGCTGAGTACAGTGGAATGATCACAGTTCACTCTAGCCTTAGCTGCCTGGGCTCAAATGATCTTCCCACCTCAGCCTCCTGAGGTGCTGGGACTACAGGCGTGTGCCACTAAACCTGGCTAATTTTTTAATTTTTTTGTAGAGACAGAGTCTCATTATGTTGCCCAGGCTGGTCTTGAACTCCTGGCCTCTGACCCTCCTCCACTGGGCCTGGCCAGAACTCTTTTTCTTCTCCTCTTTTTTTGTTAACCTGGCTGATTAAGAATTCTTTTTATTATAACTTGAACTTTGTGAGGATTTTTTTTTAATTCTAAGAGAGATTTAAGATAGTTATTTCTTACCTTTTTTTTCTTAAATACAATAGTAATGGCAAGTAGTGGGAAATATGTGAGGTGTTTTATTTATGTTAAACCATTAAACTGTGCCACAAGTAAATCACAATTATCTGTACAGTGGAGACAGTGTATGCCTCGTTTTGCTAGATACTATCAAGCTAAAGAACATGAACTGATTAGCCAGATTAGTTACATAGAAAGAAACTTAACGTGTGCATAAGTTAATGTGTGCATAAATGGCTTCTTTCTCTTTTAGTAGGTATTATTATCTCCACTTTTCAGATGGAAAAACTGGCACACAGAAAAATAGTCACTTGTCTAAAGAACACAGCTCGTAAGAGGCAGAGGAGGAGCCCCAGGGCGTGGTTGTTGGGCTGCTCGCTCCTGACCATGGTATGTGCTATCTCAGAAGATAGAGCAGAGGTTCTGTGAGACTTCACTAAATATATCCAGGAGCATTTAGGACCTAGTCTTCTCTCTCTCTCCATTTTTTTTTTTTTTTTTTTTTTTTGAAACAGAGCATGCTGGAGTGCAGTGGTGAGATCTCGGCTCACTGCAACCTCCAGCTCCCAGGTTCACACAGTTATTCTGCCTCGCCTCCTGAGTAGCTGGGATTATAGGCGCTCACCAACTTGCCCAGCTAATTTTTGTAGTTTTAGTAGAGATGGCGTTTCATCATGTTGGCCAGGCTGGTCTCGAACTCCTGACCTCAAGTTATCCACCCGCCTCAGCCTCCCAAAGTGCTGGGGAGCTTTGGGAGGCATGAGCCACTGAGCCTGGCCCTAGTCTTCTCTTGAATCGTAGGAACAGAAGAATAATTTTCCTCTTCTTTTTATCTAGAAGATATTTTTTCCGAGTACATGCCATGATATGATCTTAGCTATAAAGCAATTTTAGAGTTCTAGCAAGAAAAATAGCAAAATAATAATAATAATAATAAGTTGAGGTCTTGTGTTTTTTTTCCAAATCTGTGATTGGTACTTGAAGGCTTTGAATTTTAACTCCAATAACTTGGACTTCATGACTTATGAGCCTTAGAATACTATTTTTCAAGTTTAAGTATTTACTAATTTAATTTTTTTTTTTTTCTGAGACAAGGTCTTGCTCAGTTGCCTAGGCTGGAGTACAGTGGTGCTATCACAGTTCACTGTAGCTGTGAACTCCTGGGCTCCAGCAGTCCCCCTGGCTCAGCCTCCCAAGCATCTGGGGCTGCAGGTGTGCACCACCATACCTAGCTAGTTTTTAATTTTTTTTGATAGAGATGGGGGTCTCCTCTTGTTATCTAGGCTGATCTTGAATTCCTGGGCTCAAGCAGTCTGTCCACCTTGGCCTCCCAAAGTGCTAGGATTACATGCGTCACCCACCATGCCCAGCCTAATTTTTCTTTTTTTCTTTGTAAAGCCATTCTAGATGATTTTTTATATTTTTAGTAGAGATGAGGTTTTACTATGTTGGCCAGGCTGGTCACGAACTCCTGATCTCAACTAATCCACCTGCCTTGACCTCCCAAAGTGTTGGGATTACAGGTGTGATCCACTGTTCACAGCCCTGCTTTACAAATTAAGAAGAGAAAGCATTTAGTTCTAGATAATATTCACATAGTTCTCTTTTTATGAAGCAGAGCGGCTTAGTGATTATTTCTGCCTGGGGGGAGCTTTCTGAAG